TCCTCTCTGAAATCAATAAAGATATATATTTAATAATAATAAAAAAGAAATACAGATTGGTAGTCACAAAATAGTCGTAGGGTTGTAAAGTATAGCATAGTCAATATGATTGTATTAACTATGTACAGTGCCAAGTGGGCACTTGAAATATCACTGGGACCACTTTGTACATTTTTATTTTGGGAACATTATAACCAGCAATAAAAGTAATATTCTTGGTTCCAGATGATTGAAATCCAACTGAAGTTTAGTTTGTTCATGTTAGAAGGAAGCCTGGGGTTAAGCTGATTTCAGAAGAGACGGAATCCAGGTATTCTATGAGGTCTTTGTCTCTTCTCTTTCTGTTATAACTCTATCTGGGGACCTTTCTCTCTTTTCTTGTATCTCTTTGTTCCTGTATATTTTTTCAGTGTGTCTCTCTGCATCTTTTTTGGTCTGTCTCCGCATCCCTGTGTCTCTTGCTCTTTCATTGCATCTCTGTCTCTATTTCTAGCTACATCTCTGCCACTATTTACCTGCATCTCTTGATCTCTCTGTGTTTCTTTTTGCATCTCTAATTTTTGCATTTCTCTTATCACCACACAACTTATCTTTGTTTCTGTGTTCACAATTTTAGGAAAGATTCTGGTTGACTGCGCCTTAGTAACATGCACACCTCTCAAAAACATCATCATGTACATGGATGCAGACAGCCTTACGTTCACCCCCTTTAGTAAGAACATGGACTGGACCTTCCAGATCTTTGGTGATGCTGAAATGACTGCCCAGTGTGAAGGTGCCTAGACCCACCATGTGCAGCACTCCAGCCTCCAACCCCATCACCATGGAGTGGCATACAAGACAGTTTGTTTCTGTTTACCCCACAAGATGAATGGCAGTTTCCTCTGCTTCTCAGATGCATTGCTGGAGGTGCTAACTCACACTCATCTGACCTCTTATCTCCTGCCTAGTTACCTGATGGCACTGCTGAGCTAGAATTCTCCAAGGATAGAGCTTTCCTTGTCCATGGATATAGTGACCTGTTGATTCCTGTTGATATTCTCTTCCCAGGTGTTAAAGAGGTCCCTACACACTGAGGCTGCCTTGACAGCTGTCCCTATTTTATGTATTGGTAACAGGAGTAATTGGGCAATTCTCTGGTTGGGCTGAATCTGTATAGTTGCGGTGGGTGGGGAAAGTAAAATCTGTATTTCTCTTGTGAAGTCTGCATCAATAACTCCTGGGATGACTAAGATCCCCTGTAACGAGGTGGAACTCCGTCCTATTAAACCTCCTACAGTTCCCTCAGGCAGCAGCCCAGACACTCCTGTAGGAATGGCTGCTACTGGCGAGTCTGGGGTTAGTATTGCGTGGGTGGTTGAGTGGAGGTCCAATCCTGCACTGCCTGGGGTTGCCCTGAAGAGGTCACTGACTGATTGAAATTTGCAGAGGGGTTGAGGGTTGATGCCCCTATTATTGCAGGGGCCTGGGGCTGGCCCCTTCTCAAGTTTCCCAATTGAGGTGATGGGATATAACAT